GATTTTTTAATAAAGTATATTTACTAAAGATTTGTCTAACTCAATATTTGATTATCCTGAGTGCAAGATGATTTTCATGTTAAGAATAAATATGTTTTTTTTTTCTCTTACCGTTTCATATTTTACTTACATAACTTCTATAACCTCCCAAATGAATAACAAACGATTTTTCGATAAAACTTTACACTTGATCTCTTATTATCTCTACCCTAACTGGCCTAACACTAACTGTAGCAAAACCATCTGCAGTGAAAATTAAAAAATGTGAAATAAAAATCAAAACTACATTTTTTTCTATATTCTAGAACGACTTAGAATATAATATAATACCATAACGTTTTGGGACAACATGGGACCTATTGATCCATCTCGGCTGTTCCATCCTCTAAACTAAACTAAAACTATTAATAAATAAATTTTTTTAAATAATCTTAAAGCCAGCCAATATCATTCATATACTTATCAATCTCTCACTTAATTTTATTGCCTTCACAACACCCGAAGGTAATCCATTCGAAAGGCCAACCACCCTGTTAGAAGATGACTCCTGTCCTGCCAAAATTTATATTTGTGTCCCCTAGTCCTACTATTCTCACTATAAAGTATGAAAAAAGCTGATGCATCAACACTATCAATTTCCTTTACAATCTTCAACACCTCAGTCAGATCCCACCTAACTCTCCTCATATGAGAACCCATCCATCCCAGGCACCATTCTAGTAATTCTTCTCTGAAGCCGATTGAGCAATTCAATGTATTTCCTAAGGTAAGGGGGCCCAAGACTGAACACAATATTCCAAATGTGGCCTAATCAGTGACCTATGCAATGAAATCATAACCTCTTTAGATTTGTATTCAATATTTCTGTAGATACAGCCTAAAATCCTATTTGTCCTACCACTACCAACAGCACACTGCTTGGATGGCTTTAGAGACTGCTCGACTATTACACCAAGATCCATTTCCTTCGTAACACTGTTAAGGCTATTCCCATCCAAATTATAGTTATAATTCAAATTATGATACCCACATGCGTTATCTTGTACTTATTATAATTAAAACCCATGTTGTATGTGGTGTTTTTTTAATAAAAAATATCTTAAATTTAAATTTAGATTCCTTTTCTAAATCAACAGAGCCTTCTTCACAGCTAGCAACATCCAATACCTTAACATCATCTACAAATTTAAGGAATTTATTGACCTTTCTTTCGTATATGTCATTGATGTTAATCAAAAAGAGCAAAGGTCGTACGACTGAGCCCTGAGGTTCTCCACTTGGGACAATATTCCAGTTTGACCACTTGAGGACTGCTGACTGCATCAGACTTTGAAAACCACTCCATTGTAATTTGTAACAACAGTTCAGAACACCATTCAACACTTAAATTGGCTAATAAAAGTGCCACAGGTTATATGCAGCCACATCATGTTCCATTAATAAGTAAACAGCCATGTTTCACTTTGCTGCACAAGTACTGCTCAAGCCAGAACTAGATCTCTCATTTGCTCACTTCAAAGCCTCCTTTGTGGACTACACTTACTAGTTGAATTATTATACGTTGCAAGTTTATGTTTCTGATACAATGGCTCTTACAGCTGTATGTTGTCAAGGATCTGAACATTCAATACATGAGTATCTATCACTTTTTGCTGCTGCCTGTATAATAAAGTAAAATAGAATTATACTCCTGCAACAATGTCATTCAATATGTGATTATCTTCTTTTTGTGTTTGAGTAATGTTTAGTTCTCACAAATGGGTGAACCTTTTACCATTCATATAATATTTAGTTTGGTAACGCAGTAATGGGATCAAATGGATGATTGAGTTGGACAAGGTCACAAACCATATTAAACGTGGGAGCTACACATCCAATAAAGAAACCACCACACAATCTCTCCTACATTATTAAATTCTCTGTATAATTCAGATGAATTAATTATAATGTTGCAATATGATAGGAAAATGTTATTGTTGAAACAACATAAGTAGGGTTAGGTAAATAATTTTGCGCTCGTTATTATCAAGTTTCGTTTCGCCGACAGGACTGCTGTGTTAAATCATATTTACATCAGGACTTCTAGACCTAAGTAAGTGCTCAAAAGGTCAAAGAAAATCATCAAAAATATAAAAAATACATTTTAAATGAATATAAAACTGATTTAAAAATGATTACATATATCAGTTGAAACTATCTAATTAACAATTTGTAAATAAAGTTGGCTTTCTTATAAACTTAATATGGTAAAATATGTTTTTGTTATATTCCAGTGGCTGTAAAGACAGTGAAACTGTGTATGGTGTTTTTTTTTAATCAAAAATATCTTAGATTTAAAGTTTTATAAAAGATAAACTTTATAAGAAAACTTTAAAAGAATTTGTGAAGACAAAATATGTGTCCATGCCATTTTTTCTGCCATGAACAAATAAATGTTTGTATGGTAATCACACTGCATAAAAATAATGTTCCAGGTCCCAGGATATGATTGCTGCCTTTTCAATTACATCATTCATTGACAATTATATCCACTCTAATGGCTGTGATTACACATTATTGTCCCACCTTGCAGTTTCCGTTGTAACAAGCTTTTTTGAATAGTGGCACACTTTATTCCCCCCCCTGGCTTTCTCTGCCAGACTTATATACTAAAGAAGAAAGCATCTCGAACAAATTTGGACTTCCTCGATTATTCGAGAAACTCATCACGCACGCCAACGCGCCAGCAGCGTCACGTGACTTCCGCTGTCGTAACAATACCCTTCATTGTATGTAGATGTTGGCTTTCAAGACAAGGTTTAAACAGGTTAAAGGCACAAAATTTTGTTAGAGCTGTGCATCAAGAGACTTGATACGTGTATGGTTGAATAAGGTTGATGTGATTCCATTTTATTCAGACTTTGTTGTTGTTTTTTCAAATGAAAACAGCCTTTGACTTCAAGCTGTGGGTGGGAGCTAAGAACCTACAGTGTGTGAGTGCTCATCATTTTCAAATCCTTCTTCATTATCTTGTTAAAATCACCTGGTGATATGCCTAGATTCGTTGCAATAGTTTTTAGGATCAGAGAGTTCATTCTTCATAATCACAGTCCTTTCTTTGAGGATTATAGGTCATTGGACCTGATTAGTTTGGGCGGAGTCTGTATCTATCCAGAATACTTTAGTGTGCAGATTTTTATAATTTCATGGCGATCACAGAAGGTGTTTTTCTTTAAAAGGATTTGCTATTTAACTCTACATTATTTAACAACTTATCTACGTGAATATCTTTGCTCAGAAAGGCCATAAGTTTCTCTATGGTCATTTTTATTGTCTGTTTGGTAAAAACAAGGGTGAAATAAAATTAGTTGTTCATAATTAGTCCTTTGAGAGAGAAAATACAATATTTAGTAAAAATTAACCAAATGGTGGATTATTAACAATAAGGCACATGGCAATGTCCTGTCAAGTTGCTTTAGGACCAATACCCTGAGTGCCACGTTCTCTAGACTTAAGACTGATGAACATTTGATTTTAGTTACACCCAATATTAAGTTACAGGAAAATAAATAGTGTAAGTTTAGAACATGTGTTTGACAACGAGTTTGACGAATGAAAAATATATGTACAATTATGTGGAATTGGTATAAAACTTGTTTTTTGTTTTGTTTCACATACCAGTATATTCTTTACTACATATTTTATTTTTTCTTCATTTTAAAGTTAATGCATTTAAATTGTACATGATCATTTGTAGATAACATGTATATGTCATACTGTAATCAGCTAGGATACTACACATCCAACTATAATATACTTTACATAGGAAATTTAATGACCAGCAATCTTACATGAGATACCAATTACAAATTAATTATATAGGCATAAATAAATGTATCAACTAACACAAAATACAACATAACGGTTGTGCTGGAAGAATATGAAGGCTAATAATGCCTCGAGCGTCCCTCTACTTGAAACGTTTTCTATCATATATGAAACTGTAATTGAATGCACGACGTGAGGGCTATATTATCCCCAAATTATTTACATTAATGAACATTATCAGCCAGTGACCAAAATCAATATGAATAGTAGGGGATGGAAGCCACCAATTTGAGTGTTGTTTTCGCAACAGTCAATGATTTTTTCTCTACTGAAGTCTGAGTCTCTTGATAATTACTTCTTTTCCAGGTGGTATTTTTAATATGCTTTTTTTTTTTGCAATTTAGCAGTTGTTCGCTCACACAACATTCAGAAAACTGTTACAGTGATTTCTGTAATCACGATCTCATCAAGGCTTAGCCCAAATTTCATAATTGTGATGTTTCATCTTTTCCTGAAATCCCTCTGATGGACATGCAATTTATTTTCTGGATTTTTTCCCTTTGATTAGTGAATTGTGTTAGTCAGTGTCTCACTGACATAGATGAAGTAGGTGGTTAACAGGGGTTAATTATGACGCTTATGGGCTACCAAAGAGAAGAGCAAAATATAGGGTAACTTAGTTTTAGGGTTTATGTAAACCGAGCTATTACTTGCCTTCCCTATTTAGAAACTTTGCCTAATCCTCTAATGATTTTAGGATAAAAGAAATGAGAATTAGACTGGAAAACGTCCATGTCCATTGCACAGGCACAAAAGGTTAGCAGTGGCATCGATGGTTTGGATGGCACATGGCATATTCACTGACGTGCTAATTCCAGTCTCAGTTTTTTCTAACAAATGTAATTTCATTTATTCTACAGGATTGTGGATGTAACCAAAATTGAAAGCAGAGATCTTAAAATCCTTCATTTCTATAGATATATATAATTAATACAAGTAACCCTTTAAAAAAGCAGGTTCTAAGAAAGCAATAGAGAACGAAAATTAATTTTGATTACACATCAACAGGTAATAAAAATTACATCCATGTAATATAAATTTAGTATTTTTTTTAAGCTTGCCGTTTTATGATTCCTACTTCCGTCTTCTCTGACAACATCCTTTGAAGCGGCATCTATCACAAAAATTTTGAAACGAATATCTTACGGTGGTGGGTTATTATGTTACTGTTAGTAATAGTAAACTAAGAAATTACTCGAATGGGTACTATTTATGATGTTATCTTAACGTAGTATAATTTCATATAATTTATTTTTCAGTATTAAAATTTATTGATATCATTTATAATCAATATGACTTCATTTTCCCAAATGAAAAATGCTTTCGTGCGTGCTTCACTCGATAATGACGGAAGGACGGATGCAAAGTTCAAAGCGACAACAACAAATAGTGGCACTGGTAGTGGTACCGCGACATACAAAATAACGGTGAATGACAATGTTAAAAAGTTGAAAACAAATCCAGAACAAAATCCCGATTTTGCAACGATCACTGTTGTAACCAAGATAGTCCTTTTTATTCTGAAGAAATGTTGGATAATGTGCGGGGCCTCAATTATGGTGATATTTGTTATTTATTGGTACTATGGGAGTTTTCTTGCTCTTGGTTTGCTGTTCTTTGCCTTGACAGGTAAGTTTTATGTTTTTATACTTTATTACTGTTTAGGTTTATTTTTATTATTTGAGCTCTCCTAAGGCTTTATATTCACCACGTGGCATTTTTGACTAGAAAATAGCTAGAATGAAAGAAAAAATGATTGAATTTCACTATTTGTATCCATGTTATAATATTTTATATGAACTCGAAGGCTTATTCTCTCTCTCTCTTTTTTCTAGCAGCTGTGCATGGTCTTATGAGTGATTATTACTTCTTTCTTATATGTATTATCACCATCAGTTTTATGACTTACATGTATATTAAAAGGATAGAGATAGCTTGAATGGATAATTAAAAACTTTATTAAGAGTTTAGTGTAGTAACAAATGTACATTTCAACAATATTTTTGTCATTATCATCAAATTTGAATATGTGTATGATGTACATGTAAGCTTACACCTCTTAAATCAGTGTTAAAGGATAAAGCCTACTAATATTAATAATACTATTTCACACTTCTACACCAATATTTAGTTTTACTTGCATACATCACCACTCAACATGTTCATTTGAATATGCAAAACATTTTTCGTGACTTGTACATTTTTACTCATCTTTTTTTTAATATTATAATGTACAGCATTTATATAACTTTCTTGTCAGCTGAGAAAATTATTTGCCCCTTTTACTGACTCCCATTGCCTCCATCTTCTTGAATTTACAGAGGAAATATAGCTGGTTTATTGTCTTATTTAATTAAGACAAACTAAAATAAGAAAAAATTGTGAAATTCTGATTTTAATCATACAAGATAAACATTATGATATTCTTTATAAACATGAATTTCCTTTTACATATATAAGTGATCAGAAAGTGCTTTTACATTTTAGCGCACGAGTTTCCAAAGTTTCTCAACTCAAAATCCACCTCCATAGCCAGGCAAATGGGGGGACTCGTACTCAATTGGGGTAGTAGGGAGGAGGGGGGGTTACTGTACTCTTATATATTTCAGTAAAGTCCATTAGTGCTAATATATTTTGTGCTTTTGTTTTGTTTGTTTACAAAAGTGGCTAAGATAATTATTTTATAGACAATTTTAAGATAGAAATATATTTTTTATACATTGTTCTGCTATCAATCCCAATATCTCCAGTGACCTCAAGTGGGTTTAAAACTTACAGTTTTGAGAACCAGTGTTTTAGGGAAATGTATTAATTGTAATAAGCAAGCTGAATGCCTGTCATATGATTGGAAATAATGATTAGTATTTCTTCTCAAAATCATATCGAACTAAATGTTATATGAACATGTTTATGGAGAATGACTATCCTATTTCTAGTATTTTACAAAAACAACATTTTTTATGTATATTTGGTCATCTACTTTAAGTATGGCTTGTTTAGAATTTTGACTTTTTTTAAATTTTTATGTTCACGTGTTCTCAATAAATCCTTATAGATTGAAATATCCCAAAAATAAACTGATTTTCAAAGACATATCCTACTTGGTCAACTGTATGACCTTCTAAATTATTAATTGTGATGGTAAAGACAGCGAGTTTTTTTATGAATTTTGAGGTCTTCTCGTTGGACTATCTTACTGGTTTTGGCTTTATTAGCCTGCTGAGCTGAAGAAGTGTTCTTTAATTTGGGCATTTTCAAAATTGGAATATGCTATGGGTAAAACATGCAGGTTATTATAGAATTGTAGGTGAGGGTTCTAGTTGGATTAAATTTGGGAATTTTGTGTCAATGGGTCTTCTTGACAGTCAAGCAAATGCAGTTGGGAATTTCATCCAATGATTATGATTTTTGTACACCAGCAATATCAAGCGTAGGGAGTGTATATATACCTGATTTTATTTTATTACTCGTCACAATTTCTACCAACCTACCCTCAAATCTAATTATATGCCCAAAGTAGTGCATCATCCATTTTATACATATATGACTGGAAGAATTAAAAAAAAAACTTGCTTGTCATGGCAGAAAGAACTGCCATTTTGTGCAAGTTGCATGTCGATTGGTACAGCAACAGCTGAGATATCAGCGTGACAGACAAACAGATTTTTGTCTTTATATAGTACATACTGAGTGAATTGCTATATGATTGCTTACAATATCAATTAAACATGGTACAAATTAAATAAAAACCCTTTATAAAACAAGAACTACAATCAGAGTTGGCCAGTTAGTGGTATTTGCTATTCAATTAATTGATAACTCCATTAATCAGTTACAATTGTGGGTGCTGCCAGTCATTTGTCTTCCCTCTATTCAGCAGTTAAAAAAACAACAAAATACTTGGCAGTAACAGCTGCCAGCCTGTTGCCTTTCCCTGTAATTAGAATTTCAAAAAAAAGTTGACAGTGAGGGCTGCCAGCTATTTGCCTTTTCCTCTGGTCAACAGTTCAAAATTGGGCAGAGCATAGATAGACAATTGTGTAGCTTTAGGCTTAATAATAAACATATTTCAGTTAATTGAATAGTTGAAATAATCAAAAACACTTATTTCGATAAGTTGATTATTTAACTGACTTAATCATAATTTGATTAATCAGCTTACACCAATCATTGTAATCACTGCTCATAGGTAATTGATTGTCAATTAATCCATTCATTTTGTCTAGTTCTAATTAAAATTATCTTCACAGTATTCTAAACTATGCCTAATATTGATTGTTCATACATACACCTACTGTGATTGAAGTTTAAAGAAATTCATATATATATATATATATATATATATATTGATAAGTAGCTTACAAACTATTGATTACATTAATTGTTTATAGGCAATTAAATCAGCACTATAAAACAATAAGGAATTAAATATCGTAATACCATTATCAGTCCTGGTTGTCAACTTATTGTCATAATGGATAATGTCTGTGGTAATAGCACCCAAATGCATTGGGGATATCCCATCTATCAGCCAATATCCAAATGCTGATGTCAATCTAGTCAGCCGTCATGGAAAAAAAAATCATCAGTCAAATAAGGTTACGAAGCTGAGTGCTTACACCCACAACATCTCAGCTTCTACTGTCTTTCATTGTCTATAGCCAGTTGTGGGAAGGCAGTTACCCTTAAACTTCTTAAAGTAGAAATGAATTGAAATAAAGCCACCCTAATATTTCTACTAATTAAACTCCCAACCTCCACCCTTACAAAAAGATATTAAATAGAACTATAAAATATTGAATAGAATTAAACAGAACTATAAGATATTAAGTAGAACTATATAGAACTATATATATAAACTAGATGTATTTGTGTAGGGTTCCCAAATTGTTCTGTTTCAAGAGTAAATAAAACCAAAATTAATAGTAACAGCTATTTTTTTTTTGCTTTTGAAGTTCATATGTTATGTTTCATGGTATGCACACATTTTACTGATGTCATTTTAGTGTCTACTGACTGACTGACTGACAGACAACACACTACTTTATAGTGGTGAAAGTGGGTAAAACAGGTGACCCCTCCAGGAGGCCTTTGACTCCCTTTTGGGGAAATTACATAGGTAATCCTCTGCATTAATTTTTTTTATTTATTCAGGTTTGTAACTTTATTGAAACCATCATAAGGCAAACTGACAGGTAATGGTGTAATTAAAGTTTAAAACATTATGCTACACAGAGTGGCCAGAGGTCCCAATTTTGCCAGGACAGTCCTGTTGCTTGGTTGTTTGTCCCACTGTCCAGAGAAAAGTTTTGGGACACATAAAGTGTTCCTGTTTTGTGATAAATACATCAAACTGTCAGCCACATCAAATCATGAATGTAATAGGCCTACTTGACTTACTCACTGTTTTAACATGTATTCTCCTGCCACTAAACTCTCTTGAAAGTTACAACTGTGGCATGGTGAGAAACCCAGGTCTGCGCAGGGCTTTTTAGTTAGTAGTACTGAGTAGACCTATAACAGTTGATGAATTTGTGGTGGATGGTTAAACGTCGGGGTCTGTTCTCGAGGATATTTTGATTATTGAAAATGTTTAACCTATCATAGTGTAAAAATTCTGAAAAGAAAGCTTTTTTTTTTCAGATGATTTGAAAGAAGACTTTTCTATTTTTAAAGGCAAGTAAGATGGATAGCAAATAGAGGTGGAAGAGGCAAATTAAAAGTGGGGGGGCCCAAGGTTTATTTGACAAAGCGAAGTGAAAGAATGTGTGCCACAGGTGCACCTATTATGGGCAGGGTCCAGAGTTTGGCTAAGGACCATGGAAGCTCTGGAGTTCTGGATTAAATTGTATGCATTCTCCTGGTTTTCCTGAAGTACCTTTCTTAATTTTGAATAATTTTTACTGGGACAGATTAAAAAGCTTCCTTCACTGCTACCAAAGTTGAGTGCACTATTTGTAAAGCTATGTTTTCAATTGTACATGATGGCAAATCAGACATTACAGATCACACTGCCAAGAAAAAGCACAATGACCATTTTGAAATTAGGATTAGAGGCAAGGACAAGGCTATCCTGGTTTTTCAGTTTGGAAATCTGGTCACCCTAATGCTGCACAGAATACTAAATGGCATAATATTATTATATCTTAGATAAGAAGACCTAAACTTTACAATGTATTCCAAGTAAAGCCTAACCAATGATATTTATAAAGAGATAATTAAAACTTGAATTTTCTTTTGACACTCTATTGATTGGGTTCCCATCTATATTAAATATTTAACACTAAGTGTAATAACTCAAATGCATTACCTTGCAGTTATTATAATTGAAAGTCATTTGCCAAGTACAGTATTTGTCCAATTGATGTAAGTCATTCAGATTCTTTACTACCTCAACATTCTCAATTCAGCTAACTTATTAACTAACTACATGTATGCCGCTTAACCTATCATTATAATTAATGTAAATAAGAAAAAAGCAAAGGCCCATGTAATGACCTCTAAGGCTCACCACTGGTAACTGAAGTCCAGTTTGACTGAACTCCATTAATGGCAACTTTCTGGTTTCTGCTTTATAGCCAATCTACTCTCCAATCAACTAATCTTTCCCCAGGCCTCATAGGTATGAA